CCAGTAAAGACCGGCACGTGCGTCCCCCACCATGCTCGCATGTGGAGTAAGGTCACCCCCACACTCACCCCCCATTTCTCAGCCGTTTCTAAATCGCAGACTCCTAACTGCAAGTCAATCCTTAGCTCAGCTAATGATTACAAAATGTCCTCTCCATTTCTCCTGCAAACAAACAGAGCCCTGGCCCATCTGGACAGCTTCTCTAGTATGCCCCAACACTCATGTAGGTCCAAACAAACTCTTGCCTGTCCAACTGGGCCATGCATTGCGGTCACACACCGACCTTTTCAGAGAGGCAAACCACCCAACTCAGCTGCAGGCTAATCAATGTAAATAGATGGCTTCTTTAGATGAACGATGATGTATCTCAGCTGCGTGGAGCCTAATCCTGATTGCATGAGATGGACCAGCCTCTTATTTGCATTCTCAGTTCAAGCTTTGCTTTTCAGCAGTATTATCTGAGGACTCCAGTTGTTCTGACATTGTCCCCAGTGGCAGCTCCCTGCAGCTTGGGCTCCTCCTGTGGCATGTCCATGCTCCACCAGGAGTATGGCAGAAGATGCATTTGTGCCTGGGGGAGCATCGCCTGGGCTGCCTGCGTTTGATGACCAGCGTAACCCCCAAAATATCACTGCTTCTTCCAGAAACAGGGAACTTTGCTCTTAGAAATGCTGTTCCTGTCTCTGAGCAGGGTGAATTCCCTGAACCAAAAACCCTGTGAACCTGGTGTTGTAGATGAGAGGTGAATTTCTGAGTTCGCCGACCTGCAGCCAAGGAAATATAGAGAAGAAACTGTTCAAATACTTCTGCGTTTTTCTAGGAGCCATTTCCTGGGGGACTGCTACTCCAATGGATGTTGTGAAAAGTCGACTTCAGGCAGATGGAGTTTATTTAAACAAGTATAAAGGGACCCTTGACTGTATCTTGCAGAGCTACCAGAACGAGGGCTTAAAAGTAAGTGGTCTTTGAAGTAAAATCTGGGTATCGGGTGTTTAATTTTCAATTGGGAAATACAATGGCTGTTAGAAACCTATCTGCAGGGTTGAGAGACAGCGAAAGCCAGTTATAACTGATTTATAATAATGACACTAGGTAATTATAGTGCAAATTCTTTCTAAATCATAATAGTGGGGGTAATAACGCACTTTACAGCAATGAAAAAATGAATGACTGGGGGTCACAGTCTGCTGGTGTAATTAATTTAAAATAACGCTTCATGGCAGTGCACTTAATTGTGAATATCATAAATCAGAGGTAGAAAATCCTGCCTCTGTGATCTCTTCTACAAAATGCAGAGGTCAAATGTTTCCCGCTGACACTGAGGTCAATGGGAATTGATTCCAGTGGGACCGCGCTGGCACCCTGGCTGTGTTTGGTTGCCTTGGGCAATGCTTTGGTGGAACCGATGCTGCGGTTTGCAGTGCCCACCCCCATGTTGCACCAAGGCAGAGTAGATCGAAAATTCTCTTAAATCAGAATTGCTTCAGCTGCAAAAAGTGAAGAAGGGCTGGATGCCTTTGTCTGTTAGTGTAATAGAAATCACTTGCTTCACCTGCAAGCGTTGCCTCGGTTAAATGTGAACAGCAGAGAACCGGGGCTTGTGGCTTTATTGCATGGCCAATGCATGGTTACGAGTAGTGACGTCTTCTGATGTTGAAATAAATCTGTATTTAAGTTGTCATCCAAATAGCATGTGGGCTCTGAGCTCCAAAGTGTTAATTTTCACATTCTGAGGGAAAAGTAGTAAGTTACAAAAAGAAAAATAACCCGCAGAATCACAAGTCAGGGGGATTTAAATATGTTACGCCAGCCGCCACAGCAGCCTGGGTTGGTTTTTTGCCATTGAGTGAAGAAAGTCAGAGTCATGTGAAGCACAGGCAGCTGGAGAGATGCTGAAGATGATGCTTGGGCAGTCAGAGGAGGGCTGGGGGGCCCCGGGCTCCACGCAGACCACGTGCCCTGCACACAGTTTCACAGTAAAACCCAGGGAGGCTGAAAAGGGAATTTCCATGTGCTTTCCCTTCTCTCTCCATCCTCATCCTCACCCCCTACCCTCCTTGTCCTGCCTGAATAGAAACAACTAATGCAGGCACTTAGGGGGTTTTTGTTTGAGGTCTGAGCTCCTTGCAGTTTATCTGCCGTCATGCCTGGCACCCAGACCAGAGCCGGCAGTAGGATTAGGTAGCAGTTGATGATCAGACTAGATCCTCCTCTTGTAAGGAAGATCTTTTTATGTGTTGGGAGACAGAGAACTGACAAACACAGCTCTGGGTGTTTTCATTCTGGGACAAAGGAACAGCATTCGCAGGGCTCTGAGCAACCTGACCTGGTTAGCGGTGTCCCTGCTCCCTGCAGGGGCGTTGGACTGGGTGACCTCTAGGGGTCCCTTCCAACCCAAAACGTCCTATGATTCTATGAAAATAATTGCCTGCTGTAAACACAAAAATGTAAATATAGCCCTCTTCTTTCTCCATAGTCAGGTGTGTTTGCTCTGATGAGAACAATTTATGCCTCTGGGCTTTTCTGCATCATCTTCATTATCATTTAACTTGGTGCGCTCGTGTTATTTATGGATACTGCAAAAATTTGAATTTTCACCCAGAAAATTCTGTCTTTCCTAGTAAATCAAGTCATATCCTAAATACCCCGGTACTGCAATTTCATATTGCAAACTCAACCCTAAACCACGTGAAGACGTTCTGATTCTGTCTTGTACAAGTCAGCGCCACGCACTGGATGTATCGGGTACAAGATAGAGTCTTGTTGAGCAGAGCTGAGTATTTTGGGGAAAATACAGGTTAGATGCTTAAATCTCTGGGCTTCTGGTCCTGCAGCCAAGATCTTCCATGCTTTCTTCCAGGAGCTGTGGGAGCTTTGCCTTCATAAGGCCTGGAAGGGGGCTTGCTTTGCTGATGGTACTTTTTGTGTCTGTTCTGAACTGCTGGTGTTTAGATGAGTGATGGTGGCGATCAGCCCGGGTGGTTATCGGAGGGATTTTGTGAGACGCAGGCCAGCGGAGCGATTCCCTGCAAGCATCGTTTCGTACAGAGGCTCAGCCCGGGGCAGTGGTTCGTGCGCACCCCTGCACAAACCAGGCAGCGGCGTGTGGAGCGAGGGGGGGTTCGAAGGGAGATGAGCCAACGCCAGGAGCGACAAGGGCCTCTTCTCCACTTTCCAAAAAGCACTTTACTGTTTCAGCACTTAAGAGACACAGGGTGTTTCACTCCTGTAGGTGCCAGCATCTTTTCAAAAATAAATAGACTGAGCAGAATGGGGAAGCCTGGCTGTGTAAATCCACACTGATTATCTTAATGAAAGAAAACTCTGGAATATGTATGAGCACCAAAGCTTGACCTTAGGAGCCCACATGCGGAAATATCACCTTCTATTGAACATTTTTTCCAAAGCCGGGGGCGAGAGCTAATTCTCAGCAAGGTACAGAGTGGGTCTAGATTTCTGCTGATTGAGAAATTGTTTCTATGCTCAAAGGTGAAACCTGCAAAATAGTCCACGTGGCACGGTGCCTGCATCGGCCGGGCTGGCCCGCAGCCATGCCGCTCCCTCTCCACTTCCCAAACATCTTCTGCACCCACAGACCCAGCCCCGGGAGTCCGAGCATTTGCCGCATGAAAGCAACAGCCGCCTTCTTGTAGCCTGGCGTTTGCGTGATCCTCACAGCTTGGGTATGCAAAGATAGACCCATAGCTAGGTAGAACACTGGAAGACGTTTTAGATTTCTTGCTTTCTGCTCTACGCCAGTGGCATGAGACCATTTTTTTACCCTTTACCTCTGGTAGCCCTTGCTGGCAGATACAGATGGGGGTCCACAGGGAGCACGGAGCACAATGATACCAAACCAGTGACTTTTGCCATTGCGTCTCCCTTCTCCAGCGCAGACTTCAGCAAAGGCCAGCAGTGAGAGCATAGCTCCTGAGAAAACCGAGATTTGGTTCTTCAGAACCCCAATGTGACTTTGTTCAATGTTTTCTTCTTCTTCTTAAAATAGCCAGTATATTCCTATGCTCTAACCTTTCTCCATCCCCAACAGGTCTTTTTTAGGGGCGTCACGGTCAATGCAGTGCGAGGATTCCCAATGAGTTCAGCCATGTTTCTTGGCTATGAACTTTCCCTCAAAGCAATGAAAAGAGACCAAACTGAGACCAATCCTTAACTTCCAGGTCAGCGCATAAAGACCCTCTAGCTTTATTAAATTTAGAGAATTAATCTTCTAATCAAGTGGAGTTGCAATTGTATAGATCCTCTGAGAGCCAGATAACTTATATGGGCACCTCCACCTGAATAGCCAAATGCTTTTCAAATTGGGGTCTGTGGGATTTGGAGCAGACAATAGATGTACCAATGGATTTTTGGTTTCCTTCCAGATCTCCTGGCATTTCATTACAATTTATTCTGATTGTTGTGATTGTTTTGATGAGTGTGAATCAGAAAATCTGAAAGGAGAACTTTCTCTAACACATTATAAGTTCTGAAGTACCATTCTCACCAAAGGCCCCGCACAGTATCCTTTCCTCCTTTGATCCATCCGCACAGACCTGAAATTAAGCCCTTTCAAAGTGTCTTGATTATCAGCTCACAGTTTTAGTCTTTCCCTCATAAACCTAGGGTTGCGTAAAGGAGCAACATTAAAAATATCTGATGACAGAAACGTTTTTAGCCGTTAGATACTCAAGATGATTCATGGCAGTCTTTGCTGTTTTCTGCAGTACGTTATAAACCTCCTTCTTTCTTATTCCAAAAGTGTTGCCAAGAAGACCTGAAAGCCCCCTCTTTTCCTGAGCCAAATCGGCAGTGCGGTGTTGGTGACGGCTCAGCTGCTCTGACCGAAGACTCCCATCCTGCACCTACGGCGTCTGCTTTCTCTTCTGCCGCAGACTTGGTCCCTGGAGGACTCTGAAAACTGCACCAGCTCAATCCAACCCAAAGACCATTTTCTTATCAAATCTCTCACTGTGTTGTCTAAGAGCACCTTAGTAATACCCATGGTGGCGCTGGGCTTTTTCACCGCTGACATTTTTCCCATTGAGAACAACCTCCTTTCCTTTCCCACACGAGCGAGATGCACCCAGCAGCAGCCCCCACCCGGCATCCGCGGAGGGATGAGCGGCTCCTGTGCAGCACTGTGGGTAATGCTTGTCTGCTTTGTGGGCAGGGAAAGGGAGAGGGGTGTTGGGGTTCCTATAGGAAGGTCTGGATTCCCGCCAAAACCAAGCCTGCTTTCGGGATCGAAGAAGCGGATGGCTCCACCTGTATGAATGCATACTCACACTTTGCATCACAGAACTCTCCCCTTTGCCACAATCCGGGCAAGATTATCATGAAAAGATGTTGAAGGGCTTCAATGACTTCAGTTTGTTATCCAAGATATAAATTAAACTGGGAAACAGGAGGATGTTAAATTCGGAGACTAAACTGCTCTTTTTCTTCAGAAAACAATCAAACGAGCCTGCATTTCACGTTGGTGGCTGTCTATTAATTTACCGAACTCAGCTGGTGTAGCCCTCCAGGGACCTGCTAGAGGCGCCTCGTTAGACCACATGATGTCCTTAATGTGACAGTCCAGCTTGCCAGCTGCCAAATCCTGCAGACACCACTTTGCAGCCACCAGCAAAGGAAATCTCTCTAAAGGATGCAGAGTTTATCCCAAACTGTTCTCTGAAATACACGGGCCAGCTTCACGCCTCCAGCTCTTTGCTGCAATCCCACTGAGACAACTGGTGCAGACCCAGGTCTCTCTTTGGTCTACCTGAGCCTTTCAGTTATTCCAAGATCTTTGATATCATGATTCTTTCTGTTTATGCTGTTAAATATCTCCATGCTTTATTTCCTAAGCATGGAGCTTCTGATGCCAAAATCCAAGAACCACCAGCTCTGCTGGGACAAGAGGACTCTGGTGGCACCGGCAGGAGAAGCTGAGGGGTAACAGCCTTACACGCAGAGGGATGTGCAGCACGGGGGAACAGTCTGGGACAAGCCCGTCCTCTGGGAAATGTATGGTTCCCCCCTATCTTCCTCTGGAGAAGAACAACTCTGGGGAAAAAGCCCAACTGTGGCAGCTTCAGCAGATGCCCTCAATGGAGGTTTCTGAAGACAGCCTGGACTGGCCGTCCAGCTTTCCTCCATAAGAGGAGAAGGAAGGAGAAACTCCCATGTCCTCTTCCCTGGCTGAACGGAAGAACTGGTGGCAAGACTTCAAGACCTCAGCAGAAAGCACCTAAAAACTCGGGTCTGGAGCAGTACTCAGAAATGGGGTCCCCAAGCTTGGGCTCCCCTTCACTGGGGCCCAAATTAAAAGCAGAAGCGTGGCTTCCCCCCAAACTGGCCTTAAAAAGTGGGAGAAACAGCCAGTATTGCTTCATCTCTGGACTTGCAGGCGAGGAGGCTTGCAGTGCCTTTGAGCTTGGCAAGAAGACAGGGAGCGGTTTTTGATAAACAATACGGATAAAATTGATGAGCCTTCACACAAGTATGTGTTGCTGGCGGCATGTAAGGATCCGTCCTTTCCATGTCACCTATTTTAATGCATATACGTACAACGTGCTCTTTAGGTGCATAATATCATACGTCTTCAGGGATAATACTCGGGGACACTGGTTCTTTAGTGCAAATAAATGATGTTGCTTATCTGCCTGCATTATGTAAAGCAGACCATGAATTAATTAAACTGATGAGGCTTGCAACGAGCTGTGTATCTGCATGATCCTACCCTCACAGTGCACAGGTTTGCTACGTTCAGTACCCCCTGGGCGCAAAGCCCTGACACCCATCTTGGAGTTGCGTAGTGGTTTTTCCTGATCCTCCTCATCCAATTAAACCAGTTTTGAGACGGATGCCCAGGATTTATGCGGACAAAACTCTCGTGTAACATGCACCTGCCAGAAGGAGCTGTCAGAGAGCGCTGTGGACTACCTGGTGTAGAAAGGGAGCAGAGGGCAGAAAGCTTTTAATATAAAAACAGGAAAAGCAAGTGGGAAGTGAATAAAAGGCTTTGGCCACATGATGGCATCCTGCTCCGTGGCAGGGCACGGCCGCCTGCCTCTCCTGGACCTGCCAGGCAATCTCTTTCTGTCTTGCTCCATTCAAACCCAAGTCCAGGTTTGCTCCTGGACCAGCACAGGCTCCCTTCCCAGCTGGGCAGCCCCATGCTGGGCAGTGTGCGGGTGGTTTTGGGGTGACCCTGCCCTGCCGATGGCTTCCCTAGCCCAGCGGCGTGGGAGGCAAGCCCTGGGTGCGCTGCTTAATTGGTAGATCACCCCGTTAGCGTTCACAGGCAAACCACGAGTGAGGCAAAGCAACACCGGGCTGGAGGACGAGGGTGTCCAGGGTGACAGCAGCCCTGGCCACCATGCAGGACGCTGGGTCAGGCACAGCAGGGTTGGACAAGCAGCTTTTGAGGCATGTAGGCTTTGTGGTACGGTTGTACCCATTGCTGTGATCGATCACAGCAGATCCCCGCACACGGAGCCCGATAAATCATTTAGTCTTGCTTTTGAGGTAGTGAGTGTGTGGCTGTGCCACCAGGAAAAGAGGTCCAGTGGTGGGGTTGGGTGACGCCGCGGGGGTCAGCCCGATGTCTCAAAGATGAGGGGTGGCAATTACAATTTATGCACGCAGAGACTTGATGGGTCTGTGTCTTGCGAATGATTTTCTTCATGATCTATCAAATGCATTCATTTTTAGAGATAACATCAATATCATTATCCCTTGACAGAAATTAGGATCTCTAAGGAATCCTTTTCAGGGATCTGCTGATGGGAGTTTAAAACAGTGCCTCGCCTGGCAGGCAAGCAGCCATACATACAGCTGATTCTAATCCCTTGTGTGGGGCACTGATTGCATACGATGGTGGTTTTGTCCCTGAATTACACAAAAGAAAAATCCCCCATGTCAATGAAATTCAGGATACGGACCTGCTCCTCAGCTGCTGCTGTGGCCGTAGTGAGCGGCTGTCGGTGGGACGCTCCCCAGCACCACGCATGCTGGACTGGGAGCAGGATCTCCTTGGTAGCTTGCTCATAGATGCTCCACATTTCTAAGATAAATGCAATAAATCCTGAAATTGGTATAAAATGAGAATGGAGACCAGAAGGGCCAGGGATACCTACTCCTGTGCTTTTCTTGCCTGGAATACGAAAGCATACTCAGACCTGTCATGCCTGAAATGAGTCTGCAATTGCCCGGCTTTCATGTCACTGGTGGTGTTCCAGCTCTTACAACACCCCATCTTCCTTAATGGGATGCTGGCTGTGTAGCTGTTTTTCCCAGTTTATACACTATGTAGTGCTATGGAAGGGAAAAAAAGGGTAATAGCAGTTTGTTTCCCCATTTAAAAAAAAAAAAAACAACAAACCAACCAGGACCCAATTTCCCAGTGAAAAGCTATTTTTCTGGACAACAGCCCTGACCTGGAGGAAGGTCTCTGGTGCAGGGAGAAGCCTCGGGGTGCCCACGGGGTGTGAGGTGGGAGCATGCTGGGGCTGCCCTCCAGCCAGGGGGCAAGGAGGGGGCCACCTCGCCTCCCCGCTTCTGCCGCCCCGCAGCTGCTGGGCACCTATAATGTCCTTGAGTCCCTTCTCGCAGGCAGGGTGCAGCTGACAGCCCATGCAGGAGCTTGTCCCCAGCCGTTTTAGTGCCTGCTGAAGCCTGTGATGGCTCTGGGCCAGGCTGAGATTTTTCTCATGCCTCGGGAGTCCCTGCCTGGCGTGTCTGCACCTTGGGGGAAGGCAAGATCGCAGCCCCCATCTCAGCTTCTCTTCTGCTCTTTACTCGGGAGATAGAGGAGTAGGTGACGTCTTTGCAGGCATTAAGACATATTAGATCTCCTTGGTTTATCTGAAGTTCCTTGTTTTGTCACAGAGGCTGTTACAGTAGAGATTTCTCTCCTAGACACCGCGTTCATGTAAGCCAAGAACGCCAATGCCTGTCTTGTCCCCATGAAGAAAAGGGTAGAGTCAGAAGAAATGGTGAGATCCAAGGAGAGAAGCGAGAAGTTCAAGTTGCTAAATGGAATATAAACTGCACAAGAACAGTGTCCTTTCTCTAAAGCCACCTTCTGCCTATATATGCTCCTATAGTGATGCATAGACTGGTCACTACCAGCTCAGATCAGTCGTATGTGAAGTATCCTTCCAGAGGTAGGCTCCAAAGGGAACTGAGCCATGCACTGAGGGCAAAATGAAGTAGTTACACTGATTTTCGAAGCTGCTTTCCTGAAGTGTAGATCCTGTGAGAGCTCCAGAGTCAGATGCTGGTGGAACAACCAACCTGTTAAGGGCCATCCATGCAGTAGGACAGTATCTTTTTAAGGGGGTCTCAAAGGTCCCATATGAGGTTTCACTGTAAGATATAAAATGCTGGAAACATCAAGAAATCTTTTCTTAGTATAGGTGAAATACTAAGGCTGCTGGACTGTAGAACACCAAAACTCCAACAAGAATACCAAGGTCCTTTTGAGTGATGGAGAAAGCAGTGGATAACCTTGGGTCACAAGGAGAAACATTTGGAGAAACAAGACCCTTGCAACTGGGGAAGACATCAGGAAAAATTTCTTCCCCAAAGGGCTGTCAGGCACTGGAAGGGGCTGCCCAGGGAAGGGGTTGAGTCCCCATCCCTGGGGGGATTTAAAAGCCGGGCAGACGAGGTGCTTAGGGCCAGGGTTTAGTGGTGGGATGGCAGGGTTAGGGGAATGGCTGGGCTTGAGATCTTAAAGGGCTTTTCCAACCTCAACGATTCTATGATTCTAAGCGTAGGCTGAGCCGGCCCTGCCACCAACACCCCATGCTTCAAGATGGGCACCTACATGGCCTCACCTGCTGTAAAGGCACCAGGACTTACAGAGCCCGTCTTCATGGATTGCCTTGGCTCATGGTCTATTCCCCCACGTTTCAACACATTTTTGCACTAGCGTACCATACTTTACATACAGCATAGAAAGTCCTGCCAACTCTTACGGAAGAGGGCCAGCCTCTTCTTACGCATGCAACTAAGGCGTGAACCAGTAGCTGTGCTTATTTCCTTATTAAATTGTGATCGCCGTGTCTCAATCAAGCAGTCTGCAGGTGGTTTTTCAATGCTTCCAGCATGAAAAGCAAGCTGCAATGCAGGTCTGGCTGGAGAGGGCTCTAAC